AGCAATTACTCTTAATGAAAAAAAATCGTGGTTTACTGTTATTTTTATTACTCGCCCGCACATGAAAGTGGCAAGCGGGTTCAGCGGAATATCGCGAGTTCAATTCTTGGACCTATCAATCAGCAGCCAGGCACGCTAGCCACTTGGCTACACCCGGCCTGAGCATTAATAAAACAAACACACACATACACATGTGTGCATGTATGTATTAAGAAAGCGGTATCGTATAAATTGACGTTTTTTTTTATAAATATATAAATGCATGTGTGTATATAATATATATAATATGTATATATATATATATATATATATATAAACTACAAGTCAACGACATATGATTAGTATTGTTTAGAAATCTTTAATTTAAGTTACGTGTCTAGAGTTAACTCTTAGAAAACAATAACATCTCATTGGTTTGAAGTATGTGTAAACGAATTCAATTTGAGAAGTCTTCTAGTTCGAGTTTTTGACATTAAAATCAATCAGTGTTTCTCTCCCTAGTAAACGTACATGGGAAATCAATAATATTAACTATAACCTTCAATCTAACATACTTTTTTTTTCTAAAAATATATAAAATGAACAGCACCTTATGCTCAGCTGGTCTAAGCCATCAGGTCAGAGACCCCCATGGTTCAGGTTCATCTATTCTCAATTCAGAGGGAGGACATCCAGCTAGCCGCACCTGCCGTCACGAGTGGTTTGCCAGGATTTTACAACCGAGTAATGGGATGACTGTCACATTTAAAAGCACCCATAGTTAAAAGCGCTAAGCATGTTCAGCTGCACCATGTCTCGTATCTTGGAAGATTCGCAACTCGCCACGCCAGCAACTGGGCCAAGGAGGCCCCAAAAAATATGGAGAATTTTCTTATTGCAAGACATTTAAATCCAGTCGCAATTGGTTAAAAACAGAACTTTAAAAGAAACACACGTGCTGTCTACTTGTTGATGTTACTATTTGTTGCTGTTTCCGTCAATCAGGAATGTAAAGAACGGTGTTTTTTCCGACATATTATTGTGGTACAATATCGGTCGTGCCATACGTAATCATGATTAAAGCTAAATCTAGTACCAGCCTTCAAGATGAGTTGACACTTTGTTCTTTTCAGTGTAAATATTTTTCTCGTTTGTGTTGTTATGAGGATTATAAATTTTAAAATATTTCTCAAACTTGATCTACAGATCCACATATATACTTCACAGTTGTTTTTACTAATCTTTAAATACTTACTTCCGGCCCGGCATGGCCAGGTGGATAGGGTGCTCGACTCGCAATCTGCAGCTCACGGGTTCGAATCTCTGTCCCACCAAACATGCTCGCCCTTTCAGCC